ATTAAAGTTACTTATAGAAGCGACAGCATTATGAACACAAAGATGTATGACCAATTTTGTTATTCATACTCGTCAAAACGACTGAATGGATTTGGACAAAAATTAGCATATAGCTATCTATATACCTGTACCTATGTACACAAATAGTGTAACATAACACATGCTACTAGACATCCCAGTAACACGAGAAAAGTCAGTGACAGAAGCTATTATATAGACTAGGTATATAGGACTCTGGTCATCAGTTACCCATTTAGTTTACGAAATGCTACGAAGTTTGTAGTTGTAGAGAGGTTGCATAACCTAAATGGCGTTAGCGTCCGATTACATTAGATACAGGGTGGAATGTACGATGTATAACGCCTTACTTTATTAGTATAAGATCTCCTATACAGGGTATAAACGGAACGTTTTGGAACTATCGGAAGATTAAATCAAACATCATTACGAAAATTAATAGCATTCTCTTCTATTAATAATTTAGGTTGAATAATTATATCTATTTCAATTAGAGAAACTTTATGAATTTTAAAATAAATAATTTTATAATTTATTTATTTAGATTTATTATTTGAATATTTATTATATGTATAATATTAATACTTAATAATTAAAAATTTAAATAGCTTACAAATTAGATATCTTTGGTTTTACAATTTTAATTGTTTTTGTTTTATTCATATGACATTAGCCTTGACTAGTTGATTACAACTGTCAGTACATAAAATAAACATTTAATACTTTTTTTTTTAATAAAACTCGTGTCTTATCATCATCTGTTTTCAGTTTTTTGGAAACGTTCTCCTTACGCCCTCTATACTAGAGCTTCTGCCCGTTGTTTCGTCTCCGTTTCCGGGATTAAAATAGTCTATATGTTATTTCAGAATATAATCTATCTCTATTTTATTCAAATCGATTTTATAGGTCATTATTTTGGGGTCACATCTCCTCGCAAATGATAGCGCAATTGAGACACAGAAAGAAATTACATAACATAACATCAGGCTTTTTATCTCCGTATGGGTAAGCAGAGGTGCACATTACGGTACTTAATGCCACTGTACAATGTAACACCCACCTATTCACTATTTATGTTATGAGTCCCATGAAATAGCGGGTGAGCCTATTACCACATACCGGGCATAATTCCAGTCTTCGTGCTACTACTGATTTTTTTTAAGAACCCAGTAATACTTTGCCGGAATCGGGAATCGAACCTGAGACCCCTTGCCCAGTAGTAGCACTTAAGACTACTCGGCCACCGAGGCAGATACAAATAATTTACATAATTTATTGGTTAAAATATCTATTACGGATTCAAAACATCAACTTTTGCGATATAACCTCGTTATATTACTACGGCGTGGCAGTTTATAATTCAAAAGAGAACCAGTAAATGCTTTTTATATTTTTAAATAAACCACTTGTAGAATATTAAATCATTCTTTGAAGCTGAAACGATTTACTTAAATTTTCTCTTATTTATAGTGATCCTTGTTTCCAAGATTAATATAGCTTTAATTCAATTACATTTGTTTATTTTAATCTTTTTATTTACTGAATAAAGATGTATTTATTTATAATGTTAATTGGAGAACGCGTAATTCCAAGAATACGTAATCAGACTTAATCAGAGCACCCGGATGGAAAAAAGCTTTTCTGCGTGGAAATATATTATAATGTATGTAAGTAGTATATAAACTAAATAAATAGGTTGTTACTTAATTTTATTTATGTTCATTCGTTATTTAAATAGTCATAAAGAAATATTAATATATATTACGACTACTACAATAAATGACTGCCTCATTGGCCGAGTGGTCACAAGAGCGACTGCCGGGCGAGGGGTCTCGGGTTCGATTCCCGAGTCGGACAAAGTATTACTGGGTTTATAAAAATTTCAATAGTAGCACGGAGTCTGGAAATGTGCCCGGTATATGGCAATATGCTCACCCCCTATTACATGGGTCTCATAACATAAATAGTGAAAAGTGGGTGTTACATTGTACAGCGGTATAATGTACACCTCTGCTTACCCCTTCGGGGATAAAAGGCGTGATATTATATATAAATAAAAATATTAAATTTTATTTGTGTTCATTCGTTATTTAACAAGTCATAAAGAATTATTAATTTATATTACGACTACTACAAAAAATGGATAAGATTCTAAACCCAAAATTTATATTATATACCTACACACACCACATTATTGTGGAAATTTTAATGGCTGGCTGCATGGCTATGAAAGCAAAACACCATTTATAAGCGCTGTAAGTAGGTACAAATATGAACAGCGTCATAGCATAACAGTTAATCCCCAAAGCGCGGTGATTATCGCGTCATCCCCAAAGGATTATACAGAGTGGAGCTAACACTCAACAAATGTTCCACGACCCGACGCGACGCACCAACCGTACAACGTATAAAACAAAACCATAAAACCGTGGATTTATTAAAATCAACCCCTTTTTTCATAACGACCCAAGAAAATTTGATTTCGACCCGATCTTAATTGATTTTTCCGTACATTTCGGGGCGAAGTCGCGCACGAAATATGTACAACAAAAGGGTGATTCAATTTTCTCGTTTTTATTTCGACGTGGACAAGGACGCGTTTAATTCCATCGTTAATTAAAAATTTCGCCTCGCATCGCATATATACCTATTGTGGATTACTTTACGATTTCTATAAATTTCATTTCGTTGGAAATATTATAAAGGTTTACGAGTTCGTATCGCAATCAGTCAGTGCGTTTTCGCAATTTTTTTTCGCCTTTATTTGTTCGTAATTTTTGCTCGTAAATGTACAGCGTTGACATTTTAAATTGCATCGTCACGACGTATTTATTGGGTAACGGAGGTGAAAATTTCATTCATTACGGCCTTTATACTGGGAAGGTGGGTATAATCAATATTTTTGGTTTCATAAAATATTGTTGACTGGCCTATTGCCATTTACCGGGAACAATTCTATACTCCGTGCTACCAACAAATTTTTTAGAAACTCAGTAGTACTTTGCCCGACCCGGGAATTGAACCCGAGACCCCTTGCCCGGCACTCGCACTTGCGACCACTCGGCCAACGAGGCAGCCCTGTTACATGGGACTCATAACATAAATAGTGAAAAGTGGGTGTTACATTGTACAGTGGCATTAAGTGACGAAATGTGCACCTCTGCCTATCCCTTCGGGGATAAAAGGCGAGATGTTATATTATGTTGTTGAATGGCAACACCTACGTTACATTTGCTACGGATGATACCTTTAAGATAGATGACATTGTATCGTTTAAAAGTTCAAAACTCACTTTCCTAATGACATCTATATATAAGTCAGTTAAAAACGACGACACTTTAGTTGCAATTACCCACTTACTATACAAATTGTTTACAATATTTACAAAAAAAATGTCCTTAAACAGAATTTGAAAAGTAAACAACAAAAGCACACCAACTAATTATCCCTTAGGGAAACAAGAAAGACCAATTACAAGAAACCCTTTTACAAAACTCCTTTTTAAATAGTAAACATCGTAGATTTTAATGCAACTGTACACCAACATGGGTATTAGCATTTAGTCCAAGAAACAACGACACTTTTGCCTGTACCCAGACAATTACCGCTTCAAATTGCTTCTCTTGAATTTAATTTCGCCACAACACTGAGGATAGACTTTAGTTCAGACAGAACGTAATATTATCATGAGTGTAAATGTATATTGGATGAGGAGATGCTAAGTGCATGTTTAGATGTTGTTCAGTCGTCGTTCGGGTAGTAGTTTTTAGTCGGCTTTAAAAAACGAGGTTCTTAGTTCTGACCTGTAAATATGTATAGTATGTTTGTCCGATTATATCGCGATTGGATTAACCGATTTTTGATGCGGTTTTCAGATAAGTATCTGTTACGCTAAGATATTTAGTATATGATGTAACCATGTATTTAAAAAAAAGAGAAAGTTGACATGGGTTTTTGTAAACGTAGTTTATAAAAAAAATATTACTTTGTGACAATTTTTTACGAGGTTTTCTGTTCATTTTGGTTGGAAAAGTAATGCGAATATGGTGCAGTAGTCTGAAATTAGAATAACATAACATAACATCAAGCCTTTTATCCTCGAAGGGGTAGGCAGAGGTGCACTTTATACCACTGTACAATGTGACACCCACTTTTCACTATTTATGTTATGCCCCATGTACTCCGTGCTACTAAAGAGAATTTTTTAAAAACCCAGTTATATTTTGCCCGACCCGGGAATCGAACCCGAGACCCCTTGCCCGGCAGTCGCAATTGCGATCACTCGGCCAACGAGGCAGAATGAATGAAATTAGAATTAAGGTATTTTTCTGTCCGTACTGAAATGGTTTACAATCAGATATTATCAGAGTGAGGGAGTAGGGAGTACAAATAAATTTATCATACACAAAACGAGAGAAGAGTAATTTGCTAGAAGAATAAGTTAAAGTCAAAGCATTTATTTCAGTTAATCCTTTATTGTGCATTTTTCAAACGGCGAAAATTGTATTGTCCATTCGTCTGCCTATCAAGCAAGCTAGTTACTTGTTCCAAAGTGTAGTTCCGAAAGGAGAAGCATTCTTAATTGGGTAGTTTCCAGGGTATCAAAATTAAAAATCTAATTAGTCCGTCAGTTAGATAATTAAAAAATATTAGACACTTTTTTCATTTTCTCGTAAGTTGCAATACTTAGATAAAATGGCGCTAAGTTTAGGAGTGGGAGGTTGTTACGTCATAACGTGCTACAAAATGTGGCACGCTGTGACGTCACATGATATTTCAAATTATTATATTGTCGAAAGTATTTAATTTAGTGAGAAAGGAAAAAATACGTGTCTAAAGTTTTAAATTAATGTACCAGACGGAATTTAAAATAAAATTTAGGAAAATACCCTATTGTCACCTTTGCATATTCTACTTATGTAATTTTTTTCGTTTCACGGTTTTGTTTCTCTCACTCAATAAAAGGTAATGTGACGTCTTACCTGACATTCATAAGTGCCATTGTCCCTCTTCTGCACAAACTTGATTTGTAGGGTCCAGTCTTCAGACCCTTCACCGTGTAAGACCTGAAAATAAAACAAAATCTTAATATACTACCAATCCTACTAATATTATAAATGCAAAAGTTTGGGTGACTGTTGTTTCGCAGGCAAAACCGGTTACTGTCCTAAGGGATATTGAGCTTTAATATCTGATGCCGATACGGAGCCGCGGAAGACATAACGGGTGGCCGGGGCTCCGGTTCGAAGTGCAGAAGTAAGAACGGGGTGGTTTTTAGTCAGTAAGAAACTGACACTATGGGCGGGGGAGAAGGCATTAGATAATCCCCCCCCCTCAAAAAAGGGGTAGTGAGTAAATGTCATTTATATAAATTTTTATTAACACGAAAATTGACTAAAGTCACAACTTCGCATGTTATTTATTACAATAGAGGTACATGTTTGTATTTAGTTTCACAAGTATGTTTCCTTGAATTTCGTGTTTATTAACTAAAACTTTTATTTACGCTTACTTTTCCGCGAAAAGGCGAACATTTATATGTTTTATAATATACACGGCATCAAGTTATACGAAACCAGTATAACAAGACCCTTAAATGTGCGAAAAGATCAAATAAAGTGAGACTATGACAAACTGGTTATGTATATAGCTCGATGTGTTGCGAATTTTTCACTACACTTTGAGTGTTTGTACGTGTGAAGTTTTGTGTCGTGGTGGCCTAGAGGTTTAAGACCATGCCGACTGCTTCTCATGCATAAGGGTGCGGGTCCGAAACCTACCAACGGTAAGTACCAATGTGACTTCTTCGAGTTATACCTCTATGTACTTTCTAAGATTATTCAGACACCACTGACAAACGGTGAAGGAAAACATCGTGAGGAAACCTGGACTTATAATTTCTAATTATAAGTTTGAAATCGCCAACCCGTATTGAGTAAGCGTGGTGACTAATGCTCTAACCTTCTCCGTGTTAGAGGCCTTGATGCCCTAGCAATGCGTGTGATGTGTGAAGTCATGACCGGTAAAGTAGAAGGAAAGAGACCGAAAGGCCAGATTCCCATACGATGCTCTGACAAACTACCCAACGAGGTCGAGATACCTATGAATGTTGCAATGCATCAAACAATGGAACATGATAAGTGGTGACATCTAGTGAACAAAATCAGAGGGAGTCACGATCCTCAGCAGTAAGGGAATAGACTAAGAAGAGAGAAGTATGAACATGAAATCTTGTAAAGATTTAAATTATCTGGAAATCAATTGTAGTGGCATATAGCATGAAACAACGTTAGTTAATAAATTAACGATAATACAAAGTATTATTCAATATTATAAATGTTAAATGTAATATATAAAGTCAAAGAGTTTATTTGTTTAAACGCACTAATCTCAAAAAGTACTGGTTCGAATTGCATAACTCATTTTGTGTTGGACAATGGATAGTTCATTTATCGAGAAAAGGTTATTAGGCTATAAAACATCACGCTGCGGATCCGAGCAAAGCGCGTGACATCGCGCCAAAATAGCTAGTTTTATATAAACCAAAAATACCGAGTAACACTTTTACCTGACTCAGGATACCAGCAAACGAGGTTGTGGCTACATTTTCTAAGATCAAGTCAAAAGTCACATAGACGGTTTTACAACTATAATAGCATTCAATAGTGCAGTAGTGCAAACTTAGGAGTCACTGTGACATTTCTAAACTCAATTCCGACATTCCTTTACCACGGAACAAGATACGGATTCTCAAGGAATGCATTTTCTAGGATAGGGACGAAGTCAGTGCATACATACTACTTTTATTGTTCGTGGTTAGTAACTGAAGTACGTAAAATATTTTAGATAAAGGATTTTATATGATTGGGTGCAATGGTTGCAAACGCAATCATAACTAATGGTTTTTTGTTTTAATTTAAGGCAATGTATGTTACGTCTCTGTTGACTTATTCTGAATTTTCCAGCGTTCTATAATAAAGTTTTATACAATTACTAGCGGACCCAACAAACGTTGTCCTGCATATCCACTTGAATGTATAAGCAAAAATTCATTCAAATTATTTCAGCTGTTTAGGATAAATAACCTAAACATCGACTGCAGCGCCATCTGCCGGGCTGATTTGTGAATCTAAACCATTTCCAGATCCCCTTGAACACACACAAAAATTTCATCAAAATCGGTCCAGTCGTTTGAGTGACATACACACTCACATAAGAATATATATAAAGACTAGCTGTTGCCCGCGACTTCGTCCGCGTAGATTAATGACTTCTGACAGAATTAACCAGAATCAATTCAGTGCCCAAGTAAGATTTACCTATTTTGAAATGATTTATCGTAGTTTCAATAAATCAATAATCCGGCAAGGATCTTACCAGTACAGTGCCCGATCACGTAAGGTTTGAGTAATAAAAACTATTCTATCGACTATTGTTGCACCGAATCTCTCTAGAATAAGTTCAGTGGTTAAGAGTTAGAGAGTCCTGGGGCATTGACGCATAGTTTCCGTTCTCGTGAGACATCTGTGAAAAAACTATCAAACGTTACCCAGGTCCTAAATCATCGTTTTACCGAATGTGATTCAAAAAGATTCAATAATTATAAATTCAATGGCTAAGAAGATTTATACAAACTCTCATTCCCTATTTTATCCCCTTAGGGGTGGAATTTATCAAAATCCTTTCTAAAGAGATACCTATGTCATAGTAACTTTATGCATGCAAAGTCTCAGCCCGATAAATTTAAAACTGGCAAAGTATCATACAAACTTTCACCCCCTATTTTACCCACTTTGGGGTGAGAATGTTCAAAAACCTTTCTAAAGGGACGTTTATGTCATAATATCCATCTGCACGCCGAATTTCAACGGATGCCTATGTGATAACATCTATCTGCATGTCAAATTTCAATCCGATCGATTTAAAACTGACAAAGTCTCATACAAACTTTCATCCCCTATTTTATTCCCTTGGGGGTGGAAATTATCAAAATCCTTTCAAAGCGGATGCTTACGTCATAACATCTATCTGCATGCCAAATTTCAACCTGATCGGTTTAAAACTGACAAAGGCTCATATAAACTTTCATCCCCTATTTTACCCACTTGGGGTGGAAATTTATCAAAATCCTTTCACAGCGGATGCCTACGTCATAACATCTATCTGCATGCCAAATTTCAACCCGATCGATTTAAAACTGACAATGTCTCATACAAACTTTCATCCCCTATTTTACCCCCATTGGGGGTGGAAATTCTCAAAATCCTTTCACATCGGATGCTTACGTCATAACATCTATCTGCAAGCCAAATTACAACCCGATCGGTTTAAAACTGACAAAGCCTCATACAAACTTTCATCCCCTATTTTACCCCATTGGGGGTGGAAATTATCAAAATCCTTTCACATCGGATGCTTACGTCATAACATCTATCTGCATGCCAAATTACAACCCGATCGGTTTAAAACTGACAAAGCCTCATACAAACTTTCATCCCCTAATTTACCCCCTTGGGGGTGGAAATTATCAAAATCCTTTCACAGCGGATGCTTACGTCATAACATCTATCTGCATGCCAAATTTCAACCCGATCAGTTAAAAACTGACAAAGTTTCATACAAACTTTCATCCCCTTTTTTACCCCCTTGGGGGCGGAAATTATCAAAATCCTTTCTTAGCGGATGCCTACGTCATAAAATCTATCTGTATGCCAAATTTTAGCCCAATCTGTCCAGCGGTTTGGGCTGTGCGTTGATAGATCACTATGTCAGTCAGTCAGTCAGTCAATCACCTTTGAATTTTATATATATAGATAATCTATTATACGAAATGATAGTAATATCAATAAAGGTTTAATTATAAAACAGAATTGGAACTTTTCATTTATAACCTTTTTTTAATTCTTTATTATATTTTATTAGGGTTTTTATCACGGTAATATCAACCCCATCGTATCTCATTTTAAACTTGCGATTGATTATATACATTATATTCTTCGACCTGCGACTCAAAGTACATTATATTCTCTTTTACTTTTAAACATCTTAACTAACATCGCGTTCTTAATTGACGAGACTCGATTAATTAAAAACTGAGCTACGCTAACTAATGCTGAGATGGAAAAATTCTTCGAATCAACTGTCATATCGACATAGTAATGAATCAGGCATTTTTTAACGATCCCGAAAAGTTGTAAAAAGAAAACTGTGGCGCAAAATTATCGAAGAAAATTAATTAAGAACGAGGAAAGAATTAGAAATGGTAATTCAGCAACTTTTTAAGACATAAAGCGTCGATGGATGAGTTTTATGTCGAACGGACTGCGGGAGACAGAAGTGGCCTGAAGTTTTTATTATTATACCGTTGATATGCCCTATATTTCTGTAGTATAATAAGTTGATATCTAATATTTGAAATTTACTTAAGTAAATGAAGAATTTGATTAAAATTCTACAATGTTACCGTGTGGAATATTTACTCGCAGAAAATACGCTGTTGCTACTGATTTACAACAGTACAACGAACAACACGCAATTGTTATTTGCGTCTCTCTGTGAGCCATCACTTAGCATTAATACACACGCAGATTACAAACATAATTACAAAATTATGAGTACACACAGCGCTCCTACATCATCTTTTGTGTAGCACGCTTTTGACTACCAACGCTTTTAAGCGCAAATAACCCATTAACCCTTGATGATTCCAGCAAATTGTAGCGAAAACCTCACAGCAGCTATTTCCTCATAATTTTCAGAGCAACACTGAATAATACGTACTAATCCCTGCAGGAAATTCATCGAGCAAAGATGACGTCGACAGAATTGATGTCGAACTTCGTCGTCGCGACTTTACGTAGTTCTGGAGTGTGATCCAATCGCCAGACGTGGCACAAATCGGGGACGACGCGACAATGACGAAAGGAGGCCGACGGACGACGGAAATAGCCGAAAAAAAGCGAAACAACCATTTGCTCATAATGTGTAATAGGATATTTTTTTTTTGTTATAAAATAAGTTTTTACGCGGACGTTGGCCGTCGATATGAAAACTATGTCAGCGGTTT